CTGGATCGGACGTGCTGCTGCAAATGGAGACAACAATCTTCTCCCTTGGCCACCCTGTTCGCCAGATCTTACACCGTGCGATTTCTTTCTTTGGGGGTTTGTTAAAGACAGCGTTTATGTACCAACATTGCCCACGTCCATCCATGAACTTCGTGATCGGATAACGCATGCACTGCAGGCCATTACAGCGGACATGCTACACCGGGTGTGGATGTGTGTTGTGTGACCCAGGGTACACACATTGAAGGATTGTAATTAACACATGAGAAACTTGGACAGTTGCCGCCGCTGACGGTGTATGTTGTGCCCGTGTAAGGTGAAAAATAATTTTTTATTAACTTTTGAAACTGCACCATTCTTTTGTGTATACCCTGTACAGTTAACTGATGACTCTAATGTTTCAACAAAAACAAGAGTAATGTCTGCACACATTGTACTAGCTGCCCATAATACCAGCTTGAAAACAAGCAGTACCTTCCTCCACCAGAGAACTGCGCGTGCATGTGTGTGTGTGCACACGCATATGCTTAACTCCAGTGGGCTACAATGCAACCACCGGAACCACCCCTCTCTAATCCATCTGGAATACCCCTCCCAATGCGCACAGGATACAATAGAAAGAAAAGACAGCGAAACAAAAGATGGATATTGATCAGTCACATCAGTCAGCTGCAAGTCAGTCATCCAGCCTGGAACAAAGAGTCGAATGTAATGGGTCAAATTATTTTAGGCTATAGTATTTTCATAGATACTTCCAGGTAGATCTGTGCTAATAGGTTGTATGAAGGTAATGTTAGCAAAAAACTGATACGTTGTGTGATTTGAGCTGTTAGTGTTCATCTTCAATCTTGAAGATGGAGGTAGTATGTTCCTCTGAAATATTGGTATCTGGCTACAAGTCCATACTGTGTGACAGATGATATTAACCTACAAAATAGTTATTTCTAGAATATCTTTTCTCAAAATCAAGGTTTTGTCACATCCTCATATCCCTCTTTTTCACATCATCTCCAAAAGTTTGTTGTTTGATTGTATATTTTATTTCCTTCACTAATTTGTTCTGTAGCTAGGCAGATTTATAATTAATACTACTTCCATACTACTGAAACTTTTTTTCTGCTATGACGTACTGTCTGCTTTGGGGCTTGGTTGGATGGTTGGTGTACATACCACTAGGTGGTATCACTAAGTGAAGAGTTACGGACCAGAAAAGTACAAGGGTTGCTGCAGGAGATTGGTGATGCTGCGGCTGAAGAGGAGGGCTTGGCGGCCCTGCAAGCCACAGGCTGGGACGTACAAGCTGCTGCAAGACACGTTAAGCTTAGTCGACTGCTGAGGTCAGTCTGCTTGTGTATGGTTGCCAGATTTCTCATTTCAGGTCATAGAATTAGCCAGTCTTGTGGGGAAGAATTGGGGAAAAGATGATAAATATTAAATTCTATTTGGAGAATCATAAATATAGTTTGAACAAAAATACCATATCAAATTAATGTACATAGCTTGTGTTAATATTTGATGTTATATTTATTTGTGTATCTGCAACTGTTTTGAAGTGCATACTGGTAGTATTTGCTGCATGACATGTTAATTTTTAACGAACTTAACAGAATTGACTCCTTTGTAGATACCCCGACTAGATGATCAGTAATGAGAAAATTCACTCAACAAGAACATTCATACAGATGCTTAATATACACTTGAAAATAAACAGTAAATTACAGGTCTGTTACCAGGATTCAAGGGTCTGGTGGAGGGCTTCAGTTAATTCGGTGATGAACCTTTGGGTTTGGTATGCCATCTAGTTAGTTATAGGCCAGATATTTGTGGATTGGTGGAATGAAATAGTGATCACAAACAGCGTGTGTTGTTGTTGACATGCTGCTTTTTAAAGTACATGTAACAGGACAGTTATTTTTTCTGATAGACCTTTCTGGCATGAGGTGATGAAATAAGTAACAGTTCCTTATCATCAGATTTGAAGTTTCTGCAGCTGTGATAATTTTAATTGCGGCTTTTTGGCTTGTGACACAATGTAGTGATAAATTATCAAAAACATTGGGAACCACTTAGAAGACTGCAGTCCATTCCTTTGGATACCTGGCAGTCCTATGCGTGTAAGAATGCTGTAGGTGAGTGATGAGCATTTTGTCAGAGTTGAGCAAGCATGTTTGGTTCTTGGTTGCAGCTTCTGTTTTTAACAAAGCATTATAAAGAATTCTGGTTTTCTCTAACCCCTACAGTGGCTGCCTCTAACAAAAAACACATAGATTATAGATAGTTTCACTGTATTCAGTAGTAATGTGCATGTGTGTTCTTATTGTTTTCTTAAATTAGTATTGTGAATTCAATTAATTAGACTGAAGACCTAAGTATTTTGGTTTAAATGTGTCTGTATATATATATTTTAAAGGTTGTAATCCAATGCCCAAATTACTGAAATATTGAAGTTGTATTTGCTATTTAGTAGTGGATTGCACCAGTCAGTTTCATTATAAAAATGGCTGTGTTGTGGGTTGTGGCTCCATGTTGTCTGGTAGAAGTTTACTGATGAACTTACCGCCTCACTCATCATCCTGATGATGAAGACAGTAAGCATCTCTGAAACATCAGTAAACTTCTGCCAGACTACATGACACTACAACCCAGAAGACAGCCATCTTCACAGTTACCAGAAATTCTACTATTTTCAGTAATAATCAGTCTTGATTTATTGGGTTACTGGGCAGACACAATTATACTTTTTATTTGTAATTAATGACACATCAAAAAAACTGTGAAGCTTGTAAACTTTAAATGAATTTGAATTTTGTTAGTAACATTTTCTTCATGGCAGGTATGATAATTAAACTGTCATGACTAAGTTCTTCTTGATTTTGGTAGTTACATTTCCTTAATGTAAGATCATATCATGTATTTGCCACATTGAAAGGGTTAAAATTCCCGTTTCAGGCTGGGCATAGCTTCAAGACATCAGTGTGAAGTAGCACTACAGAAATCAAGCTGGAATCTTGAACAAGCCGCATGCACAATATTGGATGGATTGAAGAGTTAAAGTCAGTATCCTTGGGTTGGGTTTGCACAGCTGATTTTGGGATATATATTTTGTGTAGCTAAAATTTGGTAGCACATCCACCAAACACTTTTTGGTGTCATGAAACCAAGATCATTCTTAATTGAGTCCTACATTATATTCTTTTTATGGTTATTCAGTTGTAGTTATATGCAGATTTACATTCTGGTTTTGACTCTACATATTGAAAATTATTTTTCTGAATGTCATAGCATAAATTAAACTAGACAGTATACCTACTTCAATTGTCGTGAATGTAGAAATAAATTGTGTCTCAGGTTATAATTTTTGAGCCACAACAAACTAGTAGCAAATATGACATTATACATGTGTATTATTTTAGTATAATACAAGGTTCTGGAGTGTACACATTTAATTTTGAGATTTTTATCTGCAAGAATAAATGTGGATGAATACGCAGCTTACATGTTTGCTTAATGAAATAAAAACTGTAATTGAATTACAAAATCACAAAAATAATCTGACTGAAATGTATAGATGTATACCATAAATATTTGTTGAATTTTTCAGTTATACACAATAATGCCATTGTGATAGTAACATATTACATATTTGATACATTAATGTTCTGGGAAGCTGAAGGCAAAACAAGTGTGCAGGTTTGGAAACAGTTTTTTTATATCTCAGATGTTAGACTGTGAAATACTCTCCTTTTTGTATTTATAATAATATATAGGGAAATCCATTCAAGAATATTTCTTCTGTTGACTGTAATGTTGTAATGGAAATATGTTGAAGTAATTAAGATTGTTGCATTGGTGACTGAATGTATTAGCAGAAAAATTTAATAAGTGGGTAAAGGTTAAAAATGCACAATACAAAAAGCAGATTTTGTCTTACCTTTGTAAAGGCCTAAGTGAGGGTGTTCATTGATTAGCCATAGAAACAAAAAGAAAGAAACCAACTAACTAACTAGATGACTTACGGAACCCGAAGGTTCATCACTGAATTCACCAATGCCCTTCACTGGACCTTATCCAGGGCCAACAAAATCCAGTCTCCTTCAACTCCTATCTACCATAGATCCCAACTGAGATTATCCTCCCATATACGTCTAGGTCTCCCCAGCGGTCTCTTCCCTTCAGACTTCCCAACCAATACCCGGTGCACACCTCTTGTCCCATCCATGCGCGCTACATGCCCTGCCCATGTCATTCTTCTTGACTTAATCACCCTGACAATATTGGAGGAGGAGTACAAATTTTTAAACTCATCATTATTCAGTTTTCTCTCCTAGGCCCAAATACCCTACTCAACACCCAATTCTCAAACACCTGCAATCTATGTTCTCTCTCAGAGTGAGAGACCATGTTTCACACCCATACAAAACAACAGACAGGTTCTTAGAAATCAAACGGAAAGACAAAATGTTTTGAACTGAGAAGTAACAAATATTTCTGGAATTCAGTCTCCTCCTAACTTCCTCATGAATATCATTTTGATATGTTATTATTGTTCCCGAATATTTGAACTTTCAAAGGATTTATTAGCCACCCTAAGACAATTCTGCATGACTGTCTCCAGACGAGATACTAACATGTACTTAGTTTTCTTTTCTGAATTTACTTCTAGCCCCACCTTTCTACTGGCCTCTAGTAAAACTTCTGCGTTCCTCTTTATTGTATTCATATCGACCCCAATAAATTAACATCATCAGCATGTGCCAATAGTTGATGTGTCCCATTCAATTGCAGACTCTCCTGCCTACCTTGGACTTTCCTGAAGGCTTATTCTAAAGCAAAGTTAAAGAGCAATGGAGACAAAGCATCTCCTTGTTTCAGACCATTCTTGATGGAAAACGAGTCAGATAAATATTTACCTATGTGAATTGTGCTACAAGTTTCATTTAAGCACATATTAAACTAACTAGCTTCTTTGGTATAACAAATTTAATAAGAATATTACACAGTACTTTTCTCTTCACAGTCATAGGCATTTTTTAAATATATTAATAATTAATAATTGAACTCCCATTTTTTTCTCTAGTATCTGATGTATGCAAAAAATCTGATCAATTGTTGATCTGTTTCGTCTGAACCCACACTGATGATCCCCAATAATTTAATTCACATGTGGAGTTAATCTTGCCAGAAGAATGTTTGATAGAATTTTGTATGAGGTTGATACAAGAGAAATTTTTTCTGTAATTACCACACTCAATATTGTCCCCCTTCTTATGAATAGGAATAATTATGGATTCCTTCCATTGTTGTGGCATATCTTCCTTATCCCAAATTAACTGAATAAGCTTATGGATCCTCATATGCAACCCTTTGCCACCTGCTTTAATTAATTCTGCTGGAATTTGATCAATACCTGGAGATGTATAACTTTTCAACTTTCCAATGGCTAGTTAACTTAATCTAAACTAGGTTCTGGCAGTAACAGTTCAGTTGTATGCATTTTAATCTGTGTAACATCATCAGTCCCGTGAACATTTAAGAGCTGGCTAAAGAAATTTTTCTACCTATTCACAGTTTTTATTGGATCTGCAAGCAAATTGCTGTTATCATCCTTTATCAAATTAGTCTGAGGTTGGTATCCTTTCTTAAAGTTATTAATGCCTCTGTACAGGTCTCTGATATTTTTTCTCTTATTATTTGTCTCAAGTTCAATAATTTTGCCCTTCGGGTATTCCCTTTTCTTATTCCTAAAGGTTGTATTATTTTCACGTCTCACTTTACATAAATTATCCATATTTGTTTTGTTTGGGTCCTACAACCATTAAAATTTTGTTTGCTTCCTTTGATGTATTAATTTTGAACACTCTTCATCAAACCACTGTTTATTTTGCTTTCTCCTGTAGTATACTAGTTTCTCTTTGGCTGAAAGTTTCTGACATTTTCCCACTCCCTGTTGATGTCCACATTTTCTTTATCTGTATCTGTCTCTAAAATCTGAAACCTATTCGACATTTCATTTTCAGACGTATTGAACTAAAAAGAAGGACTTAATGTAGTGGTGTGAGGCCTTATAAAGGCAAAAATACTCTCAAGGTATGACACGGGACATGTACAAATGGGCAGGTCCTTGTGGCTTTGTTTCTGCTGCCTTTTTCTTCTCATACTGAACTAAATTTGTAACATGTTCGTTGGTGTAGAAGTGTCATATTCTTAAAGTTAATTGTTATCGGATCTTTTTCCATCATCTTCATTTAAAATAAAAACCATGTCGTTTTGGAAACTGGCTCTGTTTCTGTCTTCAGGCAAGAGGTACCTACTCATATGGGTCCATCAGAAAGAGCTATTCTCTATCACTGGACAACAGATGTCATTCAGCTGTCTCAACATATCCACCTGAAAACAGGTCTTGTCAGCAGGTGATAGTAAGAATAAAATAAAATAAAAATTATGGGGCCACTCATAAAACTCTAAAAATGACCAGCAGCAAAAACACAATAATTGACAATGAATCAAACTGAAAGGGGGGGTGCAATTTTATTCCTAATAAATTAAGTGGATTCATAAGGGAATTTTGAGAATGACTACAATGAAACAATTATATTCCATGAATTTTGGGCATGTTACTCGTGTACATTATTTTCTGAGTTGGGGCGGGGGGGAGTTGTTTTGTATGGGTGCGAAATACGGTCTTTCACTCTGAGGGAGGAACACAGGTTGCAGGTGTTTGAGAATAGGGCGTTGAGGAGGATATTTGGGCCTAGGAGAGAAGACGATGGGACATGGAGAAAAGTGCATAATGACAAACTTAAAAATTTGTACTCCTCCCCCAGTATCATCAGGGTGATTAAGTCAAGTAGAATGAGATGGGCGGGGCATGTGGGGCACATGGATGGGGCAAAAACCGCACACCTGGTATTGGTCAGGAAGCCTGGGGGAAGAGACCGCTGGGAAGACCTAGATATAGATGGGAGGAAACTATCAAGCGGGATCTATGGAAGATAGAAGTTGAAGGAGACTGGATTTTGTTGGCCCAGGACAGACACTGGTGGGGGGCTTTGGTTAATTCGGTGATGAACCTTCTGGTTCTGTAAGCCAACTAGTTAGTTATTAGGAGGGGTGCTAGTGCCCCTTCTTACTATAGGTCCTGCTGTAAGTGATATTAGTTTACAAATGTAGTATCATGTAACTCTTGTTCAGTTCAGTTATGTCTGCAAGTGATACTTAATTTACAGGCTTGTGATTCATGGTAATTACCGACAATGCACAATGGACTGGAATAGAATCATCTCCGAGAAGATTCTGTCTGGCCTAAAGAAATGAAAACAGATACATTTCTACAGCTGTGACTGTCAGTGAAAGCTTATGGCTTCTCAGTTGTTAGAGTAGAACAGATCTGTGATTAATTAATTTATTTATTTAAGGGGGGAGTCTTTTTATTTAAGCACAAAGGCTTTATTTACTTCAGAGAATTAGCTTTAAAGTCACTGAATATCAGAATTGTATATTTTTTAAGATATTATGTTTTAGGGTAGATGAGCTTTCTAAAGTGCTAGTATGTTAAAAATAATACTTGTGTTTATCATAATTAAAGACAGCACAGAAATACAGTATCCAGTATTAAAATTAATTAACGTAAGTCATTGTTGGTAAACATATGTTATTAAAAGGTGTCTCAGTAAATGTACAATATGACATGACATACCCATAATACTCTTGTTATTGGTGAAGGTTGTTGATCATTCTGCTCTGTATTTATCAGATTCATTACTGTCATTGATGTGTTACAATTATGCAGTTTGAGTAATATGTATAAATATGTACAGTGTTAATGTTGGTCTTCTGAGTTGTGATGCTGTGTGAATTCTAAGCCTTCAGTCCTGAAGATAGAAGCAAAATGTCGGTATTTACTGACACATCCGCACAACGTGTGACCTAGAAGACCAACATAGATGTCTTCACTGCTGTGAAATGCTCAAATGTCATAGGTATGTACAGTGTATGTCAATAGATCATTTGTATTTATTAAAAAAAGAATGTTTTCCTTGTTTGCATGCATCCGGTAATTGGCTGAAAATTCTGTATAATTTTCAGTATGCAACACAGTTGTATTATATATTACTCCCCCCCACCGATAAGAAGTTGGGAACATTTAATCCAGAAAATGACATATGACATGATTTGCACCAAAATCCATTGTTTTAGGTTGAACTTAATTTGCTTTGTTTCACAATGAAAAGAGTGCATTGAACTTCAAAATGTTGCATCGCTAATTATAGCAAATGTCCACAGATGCAATGATAAGATGTAAACCTTGATGGAAATTCTGGGTCCCTGTTGTAGATTGTATTTAATATGGTTTGTTTAATGATAATAGATTATGTAGCTTTGGACAGTAGGATGATTAGTGAATTAAAGAATCGAAAGGATGTGGAAGGACACAGTTATGGCGTAATTTAAGGTAATATCCTAGTATTTGCCTGGAGGGAATCAGAAAAACCTCGGGATAGCTCGTCTTGGGATCAAGATGTGGATCAGGGAATTCCAAAATATGAAATAGTGTTCAGTCTTTGTATTACAAATAAAAACAAAGCTCTTGATTTATGATGCACAGTAAATATACACTTTTTCAAATGTATTTCCTTGCATAATAATTATTATTTATTTCTTATTTACAAATGCCCATTTCTCATACTCTGTATCTTCCAAGTAAAAAAAATTATAACAATTCTTCCTCCATAAAGTGCGCTCAGGCAAGTGCTGACAGAGATAGGAAGGATTAAAAAAGTTTATTGTTCTAAGTACAGACATTTCTTTTTGATATAGAATTATTTTATAAACTGAACAGTACATTCCATAAATCTAGTTTCACAAAATTCAACATACTAGAAGTGAGATGTGTACATTGTGATCAACAAGAAGCAAGCACTTGAAACTTTTAAGTTCACA